GTTCAGAGGGTGGGAAGGGGCACCAGGCTGGGGCAGGGGGTTGGGGTGCAGGCGGGGGGGGTGAGGGCTCTGGATGGGGGTGCAGGTTCTGGGGTGCAGGAGGGTGGGACTGAGGGGTTCAGAGGGTGGCAGGGGGCTCCGGGCTGGGGCAGGGGGTTGGGGTGCAGGTAGGGGCGTGAGGGCTCCAGATGGGGGTGAGGGCTCTGGGGTGCAGGAGGGTGGGACTGACGGGTTCAGAGAGCAGGAGGGGGATCAGGGCTGAGGCAGGTATTGGGGTGCGGGAGGAGGTCGGGGTGCAGGCTCTGGGCGACACTTACCTCAAGCAGCTCCTGGAAGCAGCGACCTGTCCCCCCTCTGGCTCCTACATGAGGCGCGGCCAGGCGGCTCTGCTGCGCGCTGCCCCCTCCACAGACACAGCCCCTGCAGCTCCCATTGGCCCTGTTTGCTGGAAAATGGGCACTGCGGGGGCGGCACTTGGGGCACGGGCAGTGTGCAGAGCCCCCTGGCTGCCCCTACACGTAGGAGCCGGAGGGGGGGACGTGCTGCTGCTTCCGGGTGTCGTGTGGAGCAAGCCCCCGGCCCCGTAGTTTGCCCACCCCTGCTGTAGCCGCTGTCTGTCCCAGGGAGGTAGATGAGCCGAGGAGGTTAAGCTGGGTGACGTGGCACGGGTCACGCAGCGAGGCTGAGCCGGGAACAGAACACAGGCTTTCTTGCTTCCAGTCAGATGCTCTATGCCCCGGATCGTACTGCTCTGGGGTCCTGAGGCCTGCTCCCCTGTTCTGGACCCCGTGCTGCCTCATCTCCATTGACCTGCTAATCCTGAGGCACCAGTGATGCTTCCACCGCTGGCCCCTTGCTCCCAGGACAAAATGAGTGGGAGCCCGGATTCACGGGCCCCTGTCTCAGCTCCCTCCTTGGCTCGCTCCTCTGAGCACCTGTCTGTACTGGGGCAGCAGCTGCCTGCGTCCTGGGGACGCAGTGGGGGACGGCGAGGCGCTCGCAGGTCCTAGACTGGAAGCTGCCCCGGGTCCCCTCACCCCGCACTGTCCCGCCCTCCGCAGGATTCCTGCGCCTCGTGAACGGCAGCCACCGCTGCGAGGGCCGCGTGGAGCTGTTCTACCTGTCCCAGTGGGGGACCGTGTGCGACGACGCCTGGGACCTCCGGGACGTCGCGGTGGTGTGCCGGCAGCTGGGCTGCGGGGGCGCCCGGGCCGCCTGGGGGGAGGCGCGCTACGGCCCAGGCACCGGCTACATCTTCCTCGACAACCTCAAGTGCAAAGGCGACGAGCCCTCCCTGCTGCGCTGCTCCCACATCCGCTGGAACGTGCACAACTGCGACCACTCGGAAGACGCCGGCGCCCTCTGCGGGCTGCTATGACCGGCTCTGTGCCCACGGCTGCTCAGAGACGCCCAGGTGAGTCCGGGGGGGGTGGGGGTGGGTAGATCCCCTCATGTGCCTCTGTTTCCCCTACCGTGCCCCATCCAAGCCCAGGGCAGTAACGTGTCTGTGTGAGGGCAGACCGGGCCTTCAGGTGAGGTGAGGGCAACTCCTGAGCTCAGACACCGGTCCCAGAACGAGTCCGGCTCTCCCGGTAGTGGCGCAGGCGTCGAACGGGAATGCCCCCTCCCCGGGAGCTGTTCAAAGGCCAGCAGCTTTAAATCAGGCCCTGGCAGTGGTGCCCCCGGCCTGTCGCTAAAGCTGGCTCAGGTAACCGGAGTGAGGAGCCAGGGGAAAGCGCTTTGGTTAAGAGGCACCAGGTCCCAGGATCTGCCCTGAGTTGTCCTTTGGCCGATCAGCCGGATGGAAAGCCCTGGCTGTCAGCTGATGTCGGCTGTTTCTCTTTCAGACCGACGCCGGCCCAAACCGTGGGGAATTCCAGATGCCAGCGGCACGGGGCATGGGGCGGGCCGGCTGGCTGGTGCGCCTCTGGCACTGATGTCTGTGGGAGATGAAGACCCGCGTGACCTGTACATCGCTGTATATAGCACGTCTGTAACGGGCATAGAAGCCCTATTCTCGCTGCCAGGCCCAGCAGGCCCCACCCCACCCCAGGGGCACTGGCGAATGCTCCTTGGACAAGTGCCAGCGCCTCCTGCCTGGCCCGTTACCCACGGTGCACAAAGCAGAGCTCCAGCCGCTCAGGGGCATCTCTGCAAACTCTCTGGCAGGGGAAGGTTTTGTCCCAAGAAAAACCCCAGAACGGAAGAAAAGCCAGAAGGAACATCGCTGCCCCGCAGCGTCCTTCTAGGAGAAACGGCAGAGACATACAGGCCCAAGAAGCAGCGCCCATGGAGAAGGCAGAGAACTCTGGTGCCAATCTAGCATTGCTCCACTCTGTGGAGAGTCACTGGCTCCGGGAGCTGAAATGGGCTATTCTGCAGGGTCGCTGGAGCTCAGATACTGTGGCCAGCTCTCATCCAGTCCACGGGGATCGTGACCAGGGGCCACGTTTTCATATGTGCCTGTGGCCCGTTTTCAGAAGTGACATAGAACCAGATCCTCAGACGTATTTAGGTGCCTAACTCCCATTGGTTTCAATGGAGTTAGGAGCCTAAATACCATTGAGGATCTGGGCCCTAGGGTATTTAGGCACTTAAAGATGTAGCTCTCAATGGCAGTTAGCCGGGCAGGTGCTTCAGAAAATCCCGCTAAATGCTTCTGCATCTTAAAATCTGGCCCGAAATCCCCTGAAAAGCCAATGGAGCTAAGTTCCTAAGTCATTTTTGAAAAGGGTCTTGGCCTTGTAAGTCCCAGAGGAGCCTCTGAAAATCTTGCCCCACATCCTGATGCAACTGGATCTACGGGAGGTCTCAGACCAGGTCCCTGTGGCCACGTGTTCCCATCAGAATGACCCACCACCCTGCCATGGCCCTCAGAACTGATCCCCGGGCCAAGTTCCTGATCTGCTCAGCGAAAGGGTGTTGGTGGAACTGCCCCTGGATGAGCCATTTGCAGCATTAGAAATCTAGGCCCCGCTCCAGCAATCCGATCCATTCGGGTTTGCCCCCGGCAGCTGCAGAGAGCCCCCTGGAAGTCCATGGGACTCTGTGTGCCCAGCACAGACCTGACTCCTGGGGATTGGTGCACAACAACGTGGACCTGAACTGGTGCGTTTCTTGGACCCACTTGGATGGTTCCACCTGGCAGCCAAGACGCCCATTGTAGCCCCACTCGCTCTTGCGTATTTCCCAAGGAAGCTCTGTTTGCATTCTCGGATCCTGGCGAAGAAGTCTGGAACCCTGCTGGGATCCTCGAGGTTTGTCATTTCCCCCGCTGGGAGACTGGAGAAATACTATTTTTCGGGGGAGGGAAAGGGAGGGGCTTGCTTAATTACGACTGAGGCAATCCCAGGCCTCTCTGTTTAATTCCTTTGTTACTACCGGAGTGTGCCTGTTCCGGTTTTTCCACTTCTCTTATACATTTGTTGGTGTGAATAAATAAAAGCCCTTTTAAAGTGTGCTGAGCCCCCGCGGACTCATTGCTCTGTGAGTCACAGCTCATCTGGCTGCGGTGGTGGTCGGTGGATTCTGTGATTACAAGGCCACACCACAGGGTGCAAATTCAAAGTAACTTCACTGCCGTCCAAGAAGCTGCTCTTGATTTACACGGTGTCGCAGATCAGAAGTACGGGCTGAGGTTTTCTGTTCTCGAGTGCCTGAATACACGCTCAGACCATCGCTTTGGGATTTTTGATATTTTTAGAGTTAGATCCTCAGCTGATGTCAACTCCACTGAGGTCAGGAGAGTAACTTGGAGTGACACCAGCCAAGCATCTGGCCCCTATGTTGTGCCGTGCACGGTGCGCGAATCCTGAATAGTTTGAAATAGGGACTTAGCTGGGCCTCTGGCCTGTTGAAACCAGGATAAATCCCTGGCTTCTCTCTACCTCTGTCAGTGCTTTGGTTAGCATCACGTGCCAGCAGCAAGCGATCCCAGACATTCTCCACCGTCAGCCGAGCAAGCAGGTAATGGTGAGATGCTCCTTGGGTTTGATCTGGCCCCGCCTGAGTGGCGAGGTGCTGACACCAGACGGATCCCAGCCATTCGATGCCAGCGAATGCCACTGGCAAAGGAGGGAGAACTTGCTGAAGGCCTGCCCGCCGTGGCTCCCGATTTGCTGCTCCAGGATCAGTCGTGAGGCTCATCTGAGGAGCTCACAGCGCTTTACAATGAATAGCTCCTTGCCACACCCCTGGGAGGGGTTTGTTAGCCCCATCTCTCAGGTGGAGAAACTGAGGCACGGAAGCGATTTGCCCTGATCACGCTGCAAGTCAGGGGCAGAGTTAGATGTAGACCCCAAAAATGGTATCTCACTAGACTCCCTCCCTCCCATTTACCCCAGGGTCCCCCTCGTGTGGGTTCGTTTGGGTTCCAGACCCATTCTTTGGCTGGGTAACCTGCCAGCCTTGGACTGCTGCTCTGGGACCATCCCATCCCCACCAGCCATCCTGCCCTCCCTAGAAGGGCAGATGGATGCTGAAGCGGTAGCAGAGGCGGCTGCTGGAGAAAGGGAGGAAGGAAAGGGATGGGAGCTCTGGACACTCCCGCTGAAGAAGCTCCCAGCCCCAAACGGGACAGGGCCAAGAAGAGACTGGAGATGTCCAGCAGCATCCCACTGTGGGCGTCGGGGAGCAGCCCGGGGGCCTGCAGGATGCCCGTGGCAGGGGTTGATTTGTCATGGAAGACGGAGCCTGCAGATGTGGTATAATGTTATTAACCGGGGCAACTCCCCATTAGTCCTTGGAGGATGCGGTACACCCCCCACTACCCGAGGGGCACCGTGCCCCCTTGGAGAGTGAGTGAGTTGAGAGAGAGAGCTAGGGCTTGGAGCCTGGCACCGCTGCGGCTGTGCAGGAGGAGAGGGGTTCATGGCAGCCCGGCGGAGAGGAGCTGAGCACTGGCTGCCTGCAGCACGCTCTCGCCGTCACCGCCTCAGAGGAGCTAGAGTGGGCAAAGCCCCTGGGATCCAGGGTCTCCTCCCAGCGCTTTACTTCCTTCAGGATGGGGGACCTGCAGGGGTCCCTAAGCCAACCCCCAGGTAGGCTTTGACCTCTGTCTGGGACATTTACATCACCCCCCTTGCTGTGGCATCTGGGCACCTCGCAGCCCCCCTGCAAGACAGGGCTGCTCTCCCCATTGCACAGATGGGGAACCGAGGCACGGAGAGACAAGTGACTTGCCCAGGGTCACACCGGGAGTCTGTGACCGAGCAGGGAACTGACCTCTCATCTCTCGAGTCCTAGGCTAGTGTCTAACCACTGGGCCATCCTGGGCTGCTTTCCCCACCCCCCACGGGACTATCTGAGCTGAGCAGGGATCCATTTCCATAGGGGGACAGCTATGACTGTGGTGTGGCCTAGTGGTTAGAGCACTGGCCTGGGACTCAGGAACCGCGGGTTCTGTGTGCGGCTCTGCCAGTGACCCTGGGCAAGTCACTTCCCCTCCCTGTGCCTCAGTTTCCCCAGCTGTACGATGGGATAAAGACAATGACCTCCTGGTAAAGCCCTAGGAGATCTGCTGATGAAAAGCGCGTCTAGAAGAGCTAGCGATGATTTATCTCAGTGCCGGGGGCTGGACTAGGTGACCTCGTGTGGTCCCTCCCAGTCCAACCGTTCTAGGGATATTCTGGCCCAGTGTCCTGCTGGGGAGAGGGCAGCAGAGCACACGCCGGGGCCTGGCTCTCCACAGCCTTGCACCAGGCGCGTTTCAATTGCCCCCAGATCTCCAGACACGTAGAGCCAGAATTGTCCAAGGGATTTAGGAGCCCAAAGAGAGGCCTGGTAGGAGTTTTGAAGGCACCTGGCCCCCCTGGTTTTCAACAGAACCTTGGTGCCTAACCTGCTCAGGCAGTTTTAAAGTCCCCCCTGAGGGTCTCTCTCCATTGATGGTGCCTAGATCCCTGGGAGTATCTTACCCCACTGTGCACCGGTGCCATGTCGCACTGTATATGGCGTCCCACCATGATCTAGTGAATCAGAGCCCCTGTCCCCTCCCATCTCAGGCTCATAGAGGGGTGCCTCGTGCCTTTCCGGGATCGTAGTCTGCACCTGTCAGATACAACTCACTCCCTTTAGCTTCAAGGTGGGGAGCTGACCTTGGTCTCTGGGTTCTGGGCCCCGTGCTCTGACCTTGGTCTCTGGGTTCTGGGCCCCGTGCTCTGCTGCTATCGTGCAAAGCGCAATGCAGCTGGGCGGGATGGCAGCGAGGTGGAAATGGTTCTGAATATCTAGGTCACGGCACGAGCCAGCTCCAGCCCATCTTCCCGCCCCTGCACTGGCTTCCCTTTCCCTGAGGCCCGGAGCGTGGTTTGAAATCAGCTGAGCGCAGGACATGCCTAGCTCCAGAAGATCAGGCAGTCAGGACCACCGTGACGCCCTCCTGCAGAACCTAGGCTGGAGAAAATCCTT